AAGACAGGCGGATAGCGTGATGTTGTTTATAAGAATCACTGATAGAACATCGATATACCTCTCTCTCTTTCAAGACAGGCGGATAGCGTGATGTTGTTTATAAGAATCACTGATAGAACATCGATATACCTCTCTCTTTCAAGACAGGCGGATAGCGTGATGTTGTTTTTAAAAATCACTGATAGAACATCGATATACCTCTCTCTTTCAAGACAGGCGGATAGCGTGATGTTGTTTATGGACTTTAATTATAAGTGTAACATTCTCCAACTTATGACATTGAATGTCTGATGTTAAAAACACGTGAGCGATTGTAACTACTGGAAAGCTGTGTCGACCAAAATAGCAAAATATTTGTACGATCGTTTTAATTTATTCTATATTTTTTAACTTCGTTACTTAGGTAGATCTGGTTATAATGTTTAACAGAAGTGTTTGAGCAACGCTTTAATTACACGTATGCAGATTGTTTTACAGTCTTGGCTCAGTGTGTGTGTGGACTTAGTACCAACCCAAATCTTTTAAAGTGGGGTAAACCTCGTAAAATGTAACTGAGATAAGGTCCAAAAATGTCGATAAAAAATTGGATACCCAGTTGAATCATTAAAGACTTTAGTTTTCTGGTGTTTACTGCTTTATGATATATATTTATCTCTCTCTCATTTTTATTGTCCCCTAGTGGATCAGCAGTAAGTTACGGACGCTAAAACTCGGGGTTCAATTCCCCATAGTGGACTCAGCAGATAGCCCAATGTGGTTTTCTCTAAAACAAACAAACTGTATTGGGCTACCCTCCAAGAGGTTGGACAATATCTGTAGCCAGTTTTATATATAGAATTGATTTCATTAATATAAATCGTATTAAAATTATTTAAATTCTGATCTATATACGGTTAGCCTACTTTTGGTAACTATTCCAATTATTAAGTATTCGCGAGATGGTGATAAGAAATAGACCCAGGTATATGTGGATTCAGGAACGTGATTGTTTATTATTTATTGGAATCTGATTAAAAAAAAAGAAAAGATGATCAAGTAATCAAGTTAAGGCAAACAAATTATGTGAATGTATAGCGCCCCCTAGTTTACTGATGCGTATCCAATTCATCAGAATGTTCATACTTTCTTCTTTCTCGATACTTAACCCTAAGACCTGAGGCAGGACACGAGAAATGGACGACCGTCCCTGGCCTATTATTTATCCTATGCGTCCTTTAGTACATCTCCAGGGGGAATATATTATTTTATCCAATGAAGATTCTGTGTTGGATCACGTGGGCAGGAGTACAGGTTTGAGGCATTCAGGGTGTTTTCTCACAAGCGCTGTAAAGCCGCTGTTAACAGTTTGCTTCAAAACTCGTGCATTGTGCTCACGTGGATCGTTCTGTTTTTAAATAAGAGGAATTAACTTTGTGGAACGTGACCGAAAGATGGGGTCAAAGTGAGTATGTCAAGAAAGATTTGAGTTATAATATATTTTATTTGTGCTACTTTAACGGTTTATTTACGTTAATGTATTAAAAGTAAAAATGCAAAAACATATTTTTTTTGCCGCAATGAAATATGAAGCTTTTAATAATTAAAAAAGACTTTTATCTTTTTTTGTGCCAAAGACGTCGTTTTTTTTTTTTAATGAAAGTAAATAAACCTTGAAAGAAATTGTTTGAGTTGATATTTTCTACGTATTGTTAAATTTAGTTGA